GCCGGGCCAGGGGCGCGCCGGGCGCCGGGCAGCAGCGCGCGCAGCAGCGGCAGCTCAGCTTGCGCAGCATCCAGTTGAGCACCTGCTTGATGAGGATGGAGATGACGTTGAAGAGCGAGTAGATGCAGCACACGCCGAGCAGGATGAAGAGGAAGTTGCCCAGGCGGTAGAGGCCCTGGTGCCGGTAGGCCGCGTGCTGGCTGCTCACCAGGTCTCCGAAGCCGATGGTGCTGAAGGTGACGAAGCAGAAGTAGAGCGAGTCCACGTAGTCCCAGCCCTCCACGCTGGTGTACATGGCCGAGGCGCAGCAGGACAGCAGCACGGCGAACAGGCCCAGGATGAGCAGCACGTGGTAGACCGAGGGCTTCCAGCCGGCCAGGCTGTCGGCCTCCGAGAGCGCCGAGCCGCGCCGGAAGGAGGCGGGCAGCAGGCCGCTGCGGCGGAGCTGGCGCTCGCGGCACGTGCGCATGATGAAGGCCAGCAGCGAGATGATGCGCTCCAGGAAGAGGTTGAAGAACAGGATGGTGCCGGCGCAGCCGAACAGCCCGTAGGCGATGAGGAAGGCCTTCCCGCCCACCGTGGCCGGGGTGGTCATGCCGAAACCTGCGGAGAGAGCAAGCGCACGGGTCAGCGGAGCACGGAGAGGGGCAGGGGCAGGGCGCGTCTTACTGGGACGTCCGGGGCCTGAGTGGGTTTCTAGGCACTCGGGTGCAACAACGCTTGTGTAAGAGCCCCAGCTGTGGCTCCTGAACATGGCACCCTCTCACATTGAGGGTCAGGGCCTGGCCATGGGGAATCTGGAATATGCACGGGCCGGACCTGAGACACACACCAACCCACACGGTTGCTCAGGTGCAGACCATAGAGAGAGAGAGAGAGGCCTATAAAGCAAACAGGTGTCACCTGCCCCTTCCCCCTCAGTCACACCAGCCAACGGCCTCGTTAAGCCAGAATTGCCAAGGGCTGTGGCTGACCTGGGGTGGCTCCCTCTGAGGACGTGTTGTTGTTATGTGCAGACCCACAGCTGACCCTCCAGTGGGCTTTCAGAGGAGACGGCCTGCCTTTCTCCAGCAGAGCAGCTGGTGGTTTGGAACAGCATAGCTGTGGGTTGGCAGTGCAGCTCCTTACTCCTAGAGCACCAGAGCTCCCTCTGCGACTAGGTAGGTCAATGTCATGGCCTCTGAAAAGGGCTTTAGGAAGCCGACAGATGGGCTGATGGACAGGCCTATGCCTTTTCAGGGAGGGAGGGAGGCGCTGTTGTGGAGGTCAGTTGCTTCTCACTGGGGAGAGCACCACGGCCTTCAGTCACCCTGGGATCAGGGGTCAGTCTGGGGTTTCTTTTTGGCCCTGCGAGGGCAGCTCTGTGCCTGGATGGTAGGTGATTCCTTTGCACTGTTAGTTTTCTCTCATACACCTGTTCATAATAGTCTTTAAGGGAGAGTCTTTTATCAGCTGGTTTCTGCGGAAGGCCTGGCTTTCCATCACGCCATTCGGGGCAAGGCGGTGTGGCAGCCTGGCCTTCTCCACGTTCTGCCTGAAGCCAGTCACTGCCTCTTTGTGGGATCTGTAGCTGCCTGACTGCATTTATGGCCTAGAGTTTTCTTTCCTTGGGAGGAAGATTCACTAGCGGCTTAGTCTCTGAGCATATGAATCATTCATTCATTTGCACAACATCTCAACAGCTTTCGATACTTGGCAGAAGTGAAGAGGTGTTCCTGCTTACTTTATGTTCAATGTCAAGAGTTTCCCCCCCTCTTTGGTCCCCCTTTGCTGCTCTACGGTGGAGGGAAGCCAGGGACAGGACAGAATGCTATTTCATTTGGATTACTGTTTACCTAAACAGGTCAGAGAGAGCAGTTGTTGTACTTCTTGTGTAAATTCCTTAAACCTGTCTACTAATAGTTTTCTAAGTTCTGGGGGAGCCTGACCCTGGTCTCTATCTTATGATTGTTGACTCAAAGTTGTTAATTAAAATGAAATGACGATAGATGCATTATGGAAGATAGTCCTAAGTTCAGAAGTTGGTCAGAGTTTGTTTGAGTCTTTTTTAAAAAATAGCAATATAACCAAGAACATTTTTGTTAAACTCTAAAGTCAAAGATGATGCTATACTCTAGAGATTTATGGGCTCATACAAAGAATGAAGACATTCGCTCTGATATACTTGGTTAAGGTACAGTGGGAGTGTTTGTCTAGGTTGCTATTTAGACAAAGTCCTAGATTGAGAACCCCAATGAGAGGTAGCCTAAATAAATTGAGACCTGTTCATAATAGGAGACACTGTACAGCAACGAAAAAGGATGAACTCCAGCTACTAACCAAAATAAATGGCTCGTAGAATATTGGACAAAATGTAGCTCAAATTCTGTATTACTCCATTTGTATAGAATTCCAAACCAGGCAAAACAGATGACACTGTTTTGTTTAGGTGCCTACTTTGCTGGTCAAGTGATAAGGAAATGATTTAAAGAAAGGATAAGTGTGTTCTATAGTCTTTGCAATTATGTGCTATGCATTGGAGAGTTGGACAGTGACTAGGGATGATAGAGAATTGATGCCTTTGAACTGTGGTGCTGGAGAAGAGTGTTGAATATACCATAGACCGCTAGGAGAACAAACAGGTTTGTCCTGGAGAAGGTGAAGCCAGAGTGTTCCTTGGAGTCAAGGATTCTGAAGCTTCATCTGACATACTTTGGGCATGTGGCAAGGAGGGACTGGTCCTTTGAGAGAGACATCATGTTTGGCAGAGGGGAAGGGCGGCCCAGGAGAGGAAGACCCTCGATGAGATGAATCGATTCTGTGATTGGGGTGGTGGGAGTGAGTGTGTTTGAGACCGCGAGGTTGGCACAGGATAGAACGGCGTTTGGGGCTCTTGTACACAGGGTCACTATGAGTTGCAAGCGACTCCACGGCACGTAACAACAAATGGGTGCTTGTGGGGGCTGCAGGCAGCAGTGACTGCGAGAGCACAGGTGGAGACCTCCAGGCGGTGAGACCGTTTTGAAGACAAAGCTGATGGGTTACAGGGGTGTTAGCTGTATGTTGGTTTCTTAAACTTTTTAAAAGAAAAAAGAATCGTGTCCTCATTATAAGCAAAGTTTTGAGAAACAACTGAGACTGCTAGAACTGTACCAGCGTCAGCTACTCTTGTGTTGTTTATGACACTTGGCAACCTCACAGGACTTGTGCTCTATTGGGGTTTTTTTAGGAATTTATTTTTAAAAGTTTTGTACTGGTTTATTTACAAAATTCGAACACATTGTTCCTCACACCACATCTTTCCCATTTCCTTCACACACCCCTCTCCACCATCAAATTGTGCAACCGTCTGATTAACCTTCCTCCCCGCCCCCGCCCCATCCATTCCCACCCCTCTGCTTCCACCCCGCCCCCCATGGATCCTCATACTCTTCTACAGTAATAGTCTTATACAATATTTGTCTATGGAACGGAGTTAGTTCACTTAGCATAACGCTCTCCAGTCCCTCCCAAGTTAGGTAGAAATTTACAAAACAATTGTTCCTATTTATTGGTGTTTTAATGGCATCCTAACTTCTAGCTTGGTGCTTAGATATCATACACGATGCCCCTTCTACACACGGAGGGCAAACAGAACCTTGTAGCAGACGAAGGGCTTTGCTATTAAAAATCCTGAGCCTGGGAAAAAGGGATACTTGACCTGGGAGGCATCTGAATGTGATTTTTGTGTATTTTAGGATTGTTGACGGCGTTCTCAGAGCTGAGCACACTGCACAATGTGCTGTCCCCCCATCTGAAGAGAACAGCTGGACACTTCCACACTGGACGTGGTAAGGCCACAAAACCCTACCATTACTCCGGATTGTGCTGAATCGTACAGCGTGTGACGGAAAAGAGTTGGCAGATGCAGGGGGCAGTGCTGTGGTCTCCTCTGTGATTTCCAGGAGGAGGGATGGGGCTGGGTCCAGGGCCCCTCCTCTGTGATATACCCAGGATGAGGGATGAGGCTGGATCCAGGGCCCCTCTGGGATAATGCTGTCTTCCTGGCTGGGTGCTGGCTGAGTGGCACATGCCCACGGCTCACCAGAGAGCCCTGTGGCAGTGTGTGGTGGGAGTCGGGGTGAGCCACACTGCGCCTTGTAAGGTCTGGAGCTCTGGGGTGACTTCCCTGGGCGGAAAGCTGAGAGGAGTGAGGAGGGGAGCCTGGGAGGCAGTAGTGGGCTCCAGCTGTACCTTTGGAGCTTGATGTGTGGACGAGTCGTGAGACTGACACTGGGCAAGTGGATGCTGTGAAAAGAAGCCAGGTGCTGCACCAGAGGGGCATCGGGGGCTGGCATCAGGGGCTGAGGGTCAGAGGGCTGGGCACGGTGTGAAAGGGCATCACAGGAGTGATGGAAAGTGTTATCACCGAGTTGGGAACAGTGCTGCCGTGATCTCCAAAGAATCCCGCAGTGCCACGCTGCCCCGTGACCTGGGCCGAGGAGGAAGGACTCATGCTTGCCCCGTAAAGCTCCCACCCAGAGGGAACAGTCTCATGGCACAGCTAAGATGACCTGGGGCTTGGGGACAGCGTGATGGTTGAGGTGCAGAGGTCACCACTGCTGCTGGTTCTTGGGCTGACCACAGTGAGTCCCGTGGGCTCCCCAGTGAAGTCCCCCTAACTGGCCTTGCTCCATGAGGCCTTCTTTCCATGCCTGGACTCCTTGGGAGTTTGGGTTGCCTGCTGTGGACCTGTCTGCTCCCCGACGACTGAACGTAGAAGTCCTTCCTCACTCCCCTGTCTTCCTGTATTTTCCCATGGTCTTCCCAGATGGGCTGCTGTGTGAACAACATCACCCATCCATTTCCTTCTTTTCTTTTTTTTTTAAAAATTATTTATTTTCTTTTTCTTATTTGTGTGTGTGTATACCGTCAAATCAGATTTGACTGGTACAGGAGGAGATGGTTCCTCCTTCTCCAGCAAAGCATCTGGTGGATTTGAACCGCACACCTCTGGGATTGCAGTGCAGCTTCTTGCCACCCATCCATTTCTTTAGTGAGCATTGATTGAGGGCCTCAGAATTGAGGGTGGGGGGAGCGGTCCTATTAACCCAAAGGTGGGGCCGCTCTGGTGGTTCAAATCCACCAGCTGCTCCAGGGAAAAGGACAGGCAGTTTCCTCCTGTGTGACGTACAGCCTCTGAAAACCCCCAAAGGGTCAGCTCTGAGTAGGTAATAACTCAGCAGTAGTGACTTTGAGTTTGGACTGGCAGGCACTGTGCTCTGAGGGATATGGTGGGAGACAGAGCAGAGGCAGCAGTCTACCTTCTTGGCAGCCCCACGCTGTGATTCTGGGGGATTCCTTACATCCTCTACCCTTCTCACCTCTCCACACTGAGAGCTGGTCCTGGGGAGTTGGAGGGGGTTGTCTCTCGAACCCCTGGCTCGGTTTGCATTCAGCGGTAACCACCTGGTCAAGCTCCCAGAGACACTGAATATCTGACTGGCCCCTGCGTGATGCATCATCTGCCCGGAAGGCAAACTCAAAGCTCAAAGCCATTGCCATTGAGTGGGCTCATCATTGATGCTCCTCCCTGGGGTTTCTGAGGCCGTAAAGCTCACGGGAGGAGGCTGCCCACCATCATC